TATTTTTTCATCAAACACTAGAATTTCAGTCCACAAAATTTTCTGAATGAGCTGAATAAACTGATCGTGAGGTGATTGATTGAAAAAACGTAATCGATAAATAGCAAATACATTACTCAGTAATTGAAAGATATACGAAAGAAAACGAAAACAGTCACAAACCGCTGATCGAACTGCAAATGCTGAAAATGGCGATATCGCTTGAATCGTCGTGTATTATCAAAACTATGATCAATGTAACGCATTTGTGTATGAAACGTCATCAACTCCATCGAAAATGCACCCGTGTCCTTACGCGTTTCATCTTCTGGTGCCTTTTTCGGTAGTACTGAAACATCCTTAGTTTTTCCTCACATGCATTCACCTTCGACTGCTTTCGTAAACCTCACCGATAAACATTTCAAATGTGATTTCTGATGCTTTTCAATATTTGTGCATACCTTCGGACTTACGTGACAATGCTGTAAAAATTCACAAATGATGCAAAAACTCGAGATATTTCGCTTACCATCGCTTGGTTTTTCTGGTGTTATGTAGAGACCGTTTGATAAACGAATAAAATTCTTCATGGCATCTTTTTCTTGCTGATATTCTCGTTCATCCCTTTGCAATTCTTGCCAACGTTTGAATGCACTCCATCGATGGATATTGAATGAACGTTTTTGCGGAAGAAAATTTACATTTTTAACAATGTTTTGCGGCAGTAATTTACCGCAGTTGATGATGGTTGGTGCAGACGAGGATGATATCAGTAGACGATTACAACAAGACGAGTGCATCTCGCAACATCTTAAACCGTTTGTTCAATCATCGTCGAGTTCATTAACACATCAGGCCATCAGAGATGCATTTCGAGTTGAGCAGACGCATTTCAAATGAGACGTCATTCACTAGGTTACGATACTCAGAAAGCTTACCACCACCGTTATCAAATAAACAGAAATGACGCAGTGAAATGAAGGCATTAATCGACTTTGTATTAATCGAAAATTCGACTGTATTTAACGACATCTTTACACTGATGATGTTCGTCTGTGAAATATAACCTCTCGAAGCACAAAAAGATTTATGTGAATTATTGTGAATACTCCAATTTATGAAACATCGCGAAATTACAAAACTTTTATCACAAATGAAGAACACAGACGATGATTATCATTTTCATAGCGACACAAACAATAATCATAATGATACTGACGTCATTCGTGAAAATTAGAATAAATGTACAAATGTAGCGTGGACATAATAAAAGAGGGTTTGTGAGTGACATTAAATGAAGTTGACATTTAAAAAACTAAGTGACATTAAAAATTAAATTAAGAGGCTCGAAAAGGACAATGCTAAAGGTAAATTAAAGAAAGCAATATCAACAAGATTGATTGAAAGTTCATGAGGGTGACACCCAATAAGATAGCGATTACAACATTGACACCAATGAAAAATCTCCCATGACTGCCGGCATCTTCATCACGTCGCGCTTGATCTGCTCCTGGAGAGGTTTGCACGTCTTCTTCGAAAAAATCTGCGTAATCGACCGAGTCTTGCTTTGCTTCGCCTTGATCGATCTCCACTCACCGATGTCTCATCACCTACGATTACATCACATGAAAGTTCTTTATTGAATTTTATGCAAAATTATCTTCGTTAACACATCGCACTGATAGTGAGAGTCATGATGAATTCATTACGATAGTTATGAAATGGAATCGATACCACCAAAATTCATTGAAAGTTCAGCCGGGCTAAGACTCTCCAAGATATCGCTCAAATCAGTGCCATCATTAAGCTGACTGGACTGATAAATCTCTTCGATAGTTTCCGCTATAATATCGAACAGTTCCTCTACTTCTGCTTCACTTCGCACTGCTCGATCTCCACTCGCAGATGTTTCTTCATCATCTGAAAGTTCTTCATAGATTTTTATCCGAAATTATCTTTGTTAACATAACAGTCATGACAATTAGATCACATTTTTGAGGATCATGATATTTACTGCTATACTAATAAAATAAATAGAGCGAAAAGAGAATTTGAAATGAATTATAAATGAGAAACAGTAAAGGCAATATAAGGAACTAACTATAATCAGGCAGAAATGTAGCTAGTCTGCCAGGGTTGAATGCATCGTCACCAT